ATTCATCCACCCAACCTTGAGTTGATGTTGATAACTAGACTGCAGCTCTAACCAAATTCACCTGATATTTTAGTACTGTACATGCATATGCTTTTAAACACTCAAACAATGTTTGACAGCCTACCTCAGTTGTGTTTAGAATTGATATGTGCTCAAGCAAAACCACATTCATGCTCATTTAAACAGAGAGGAAAACATTGGGCAACAACAACATTTGCCTTTAGATATCATTAAAAACCCAATTCAGGGGGTTTAAAAGATAAGAAAAGATGCCACCAGCTTCAAGGCTTTTGATTCATGCGATCTGGGTACTTCATCAAGGTGAACTCAGATAGGGCATCTGTCTGGCTCTCGTCACCTTTCCTTTGGTCTTTTAAAGGAGGAGTCTCCTTGTCTTTGCTCTTTGGTTGGTTCTTTAAGGAGTTCCTCACCTCCTGACCCCAGTCCTGAGAGACGTGCTCCAGTATACACTTCTCCAACAGGGGGAGGTCAAAACTTAGAAAGTGGCAAATGCACTGCTGTGTACAGATGGGGATTTTTTTTATTAATTTACCGTCAGTGGAAAGAGATGAACTGATTGCTCTGGTTCATATTTAAATTTAGTAATGGTAGTGAGAGTCATTGGTTACCTAGTGGTTTTGGTAATTTTAGCATTACTCTGATATGCTGTGAAAATGTTTAATCAGGTAACTTGAAAATGAGTTTTAATTAAAGTCTAATATATAATTTAATATGTTTAAATCAATGTGACTAAATTGGGTTATGTCAACAAAAGTGTTTAATATTGGTCATATCAGGTTGAAATAAATCCTCAAAGGGACCAACTGCTCATTTCCTCCTTTTTTGTTCTTTATTAATTAATTTATTATTTACATAAAACTATTTTCAATTGCTACTTTCCACTACTGAATAAATATTACTTTAAATAATATTATTTTATACATTTTTCATACATATTTATTATAATTTTTATTTTATTTTATTTGTTTGTCTATTAATTAATTAATTAATTAATTTATTTATTTTAAATTTACCCTTGACCACATTCACCATCATGGCAAATAGTTTTGCTAAGCTTGTCGTGCTGCATTTTGGGATTGCTTAAAATTTCGTTCTTATGGTATCTGACGTTCTCTTCAAAATGAAATTAAAATTTAAAAGTAAATAAAAACAGTGAGATTGTATTTTAGCACTGCTCAACAGAAATTTCCATACTGGCCCATGCTGGATTGGTGCTGATCTAGCTAGTTGACCATGATAGCCATGCTGTTCACCAGTTGGTGAAGCTGGTCAACCAGCATTGTCTGTGAGAGGACAGACTGGTTGACCAAGGAAGTCATACTGGATAGCTAGTTATGAAGTTATGAGGTCCAACATCTAAAACACAACATATGTTGTTTTTTAAGAAACTTTCTCTGTCTGCAAGTTGTGCAGTTTTCAGCTCTTCTTAATTTCATTTAATGTTGAGAGTACAGATTACGCCTCTTGCTAATAGCCGTGTAAAGACATCAGCATCTGCTGCCCCTGATCGAGGAACAGTGTCGAGTTACGTGCTAATGGATCCTCATTACTGCACAAAGAGGGTTCAGTGAACTTCAGATAACTGACGTATCTCAACTGGCAGTCGGGTGATAATCTGTAAACTGTTTGCAAACCCTGATTCAGAACCACACTGATTACATCTAGACTCAGATAAGATGAATCATTCGTTTCGAGTTTGGAACAGAGCTTGAATCTTGCTGAACTCATGTAATATGAAAACATTAATTTGTTCTCTCTTATTGTTAACCCAAAAATCATTCATTCATTCCTTTCCCGTCTTTCCAAACTTCTATGTTGTTATTTTAAAATAGAGAATCCTATAAGAATTCCCTGAACGCTCATTTGCATTTAATGAAATATACTGACAAGTGTTCTGGTCCCTGCTGCAGAGAAACGCCCCCATAACAGGATATTACCACCTCCATGCTTTACTGGAGGAATGCTGTTATTTGGATGGTGAGCTGTATTGGACATATCGTTTGGCCAAATAATTCAATTTTAGTCTCATCTGCCTCAAAATCTTCAAGGTGTGTTTTGGAAGAGCTCAGTCTGACTGCATGTGGCCTTTCTTGAGGAGTAGCTTTTTTCTTGCAACCCTCCCATACGAGCCACGTTTGTGAGGAATTTGTGATATTGTTGCCACATGCACACAATGACCACTCTTTGTCATAAATTCCTGCAGCTGCTTCAGAGTTGCTGTAGGCCTCTTGGTCACCTCTCTGGCCAGTTTCCTCTCATTCAGTTTGGAGCGACATCATGATCCAGGGAGGGTCTGTGTTGTAAATACCTTCCACTTCTTAATAATAGACTTCATTGTGCTTCTAGGCATTGTTAAAGCCTTTGAAAATTTTGACTGACTTGTGCCTATCCACAACTTTATCCCAGAGATCTTTTGACAGTGTCTTGCCATCCATAGCTTCAGTTGCACTACCAAGGACTGAAATGCTCCAGGAAAGCTCTTTTCATGCTGAGCTAATCAAAATGAGCACAGTTGATCACAGTTGAAAGTCAAATGGCTTTGTGTGCCATTGAGAAGTTGATTAGTTACACCTGATTGAGTTTACAAGTCATTTTTAAGGGGGGGTGATCCTTTTTCCAACTCAGTGATTGTTTTTTTCAGTGATTGTTTATATTTAATAGCTTCTGTCCCTATATACTTTCAGTTAACAGAAAAGAGCAGCCTGTACGTTCTATAGAATAATGCAACATGAGGGTGAGTTAGGCTCGAATGGGTTCATGTGGGCTAACTGGTTTATAGTATAAAGTTTGGTTTGATGTTCTGTAAATAAGATGTCTTTTGCAGCTGGTCATTAAGTGAATGATCTGTTTTCATCCACAGTCGTGACCATTTGTATCTCAATATTGTATATGTAAATAATGTTCTGTAATCATACCTTTTACTCGCCACTGATTCAGACGAACTATAAATCACTCAAAACACAACTGCGTCTGAGGAATGTGAAATGGTTTGCCCCACTGCAGACTCAGACAGATACACAGATGCTTGAACACACACACACTCTCTCCTCTTACACACTCACGCACTCCACCACATATATACTGTCCTTTTGTCTCGTTTCACATCCCTCAGCTGTCCGCTGTCACTCAGCCCATTTCATGCTGCTGTCACAGGACATTTTCTCACAAATCACCCACGCACATGTTCCCTCTGACAGTTCACACACGTGCCAGAAACACACAGCACACACATTCAACTCTGACGGGTCTGAAGTCGACATAAAATCTAAATTGATCCTTTGACTATTTACTATACATTTCTGGTCTTACTGTGAACGATTCATTGGTGAATGTTATTCCAAATAATTTTTTTTGTCTTCATAATCTCACTCGGCAACTTAGTCCAGTGCAAAAAAAGCCTGCTTTTTATGATCCAGTCAATTTCTGATGGATAAATTCAAGTCGCGTCAAAATTTTTCTCATTAAATATTTTATTTTACTCAGAAATACATCGTTTTACAGAAGTACAATGAGTTGTAGACTGGGGTTTCACTGTGGCTTTTAAGAAAAGCATTTACACATTTTACTATTAAACACAGGGAATGTTTTACAAAACTACTTTTTCTAAACCTACAAAGAGCATACGCTGATTTGATTATGATTTGTATAAAATAATATTATTTTAATTTAATTTTTAAACTGGAAAAAAAAGCCAGAAGAAACGAGAACACATATTTTGAATATTCAAATTAAAAGTAAATTGAATTAACGTGTTGTGAAATCAGACATTATGAAACTAAATTAACTCAATTTAAATTAGTAACTAAATTTCCATTAGTGAAATCACACTGAAAATAATTTTTTATCAATACTTTTGTCTTGTTTTCCACTAAAATGGTCTAAACACTGTTAAAACAAGGCAAATTTACATGAGAACCAAAGTAGCATAAGATATTATGAGAAAATACACTGAATTAACTTTATTTTTCTTATCCCATTGGCTAATTATTAATATTATTAAGCATAAATCACACTAAATTTATTGTAGCTTATGCTTAAAAGGGGAAGGGGGTGGGCAACTATTTGCCAGTGAGTAAGAGAAATGCAATTCATGAATTTAGACAAATTAGTTGTTTTTTATTACCTGAAAACCAAATTTCCTGTAACATGCTTGAAATTCGGCACCCAGCATTCGAGGAACTATCTGGACATCAAGATAATTTTATCTGACCAAATTAAAACGCATATCCAGAGAGAATGTGCTTGTGTCACATCAGGACTTGTTCTGACTAACTTCTATGATAGGGTTCTGTGTGCCACATGGTGAATACAGCGAAATCCAACTTCTCAGAAACAACTCCCTGGAATGGAACAGAGCGCATATAATGCCAGAGCCAAGACTTACTGCTATCTTTGTATTCCTGCGTTTTTATCGAGTTGGCATTCATGCAATGACCTGATCAATCCAATTCACTTCACACACACATGCACTCATTCGAACTCTCATTTGTCCTCTTCACAGAAAGCCATCTGGCCTTGAAATCATAGTGATACGTCAGCTACCAAACAAGCACCCATGCGCACACATGCATATCAGTCACCAGGGAATGTAAACCAAGCTTTGCCGAGTACTGTAATCATGTACTACTGAACTTTGTCCCAGTATTTAGTAGGACTTCTTGGTCCCTTTAATTCAGTGACATGTGTATCGCATGCATACTTTGATGATTTTACTTGGTAAAACCCTTCAAATCAGAAATATAAAATATTATCGTTGCCAATAGATTAAAAAAAGTAATCAAGAGTTTTACGTCCTTTTAAGGAAAGATTATGCATACACATATATATATATATAAAGCTGCTCTCTAACATCTTTATTTTGCAATGCCATCATCTTAATTTGAATACATTTCCATGAAGTAATCCCCTGCAGGCAAATTGTTGTGTATCTTGTCACATTCCTGTGTGTTGAGCTTATTATGTTCTTCTGATCTCTGCAGCTTTAGGAACAAGCTGAAGAAATTGAGAAATATATGCCGGCGGTTATTCTGAAAACGTCTGTTTTCCACTGGAATGAAGCTTTTACAGGTGAATCTCATGCATGAGAGATTATAGAGAAATCATAAGCTTCATGACAATTAAGCACATTTCACCCCCAATTCCCATTACTGTAATGCATTTGGAAGTTTTTTAAATGATTCCCATCAAACGTCACCTAACTTTGCAGTAAGATGCGTGAGGGCTGAAATAACACACATTTGAGACCACTGAAGTGCGTCTGACCACCTGCCTGCGGTGAGACTTTTGCAGTTTACTCATATTGCTCTTGAAACTCCCCCTTTATTCGTTTCTCCACAGCCCCCTCGGTTGGAGAGAGAGAGGGATGGAATGAGAAAGAGAGCGAGTGAAACAGTGAATCATGAGTGCAGCTTTGAACAACAAGGGGAAATCCTCCTATTGAGAAGGCATGCGCTGTGGAAACATGCATCACTCATAGAGGTAACGGATCCGGGGGCCACACACAAACCAAAACTTTTAGCCATTTATCTGGAGACCGTCTTGATGTTGTGTCATGCAAAACGGTAGCAGTTTTAATAACAGAAAACTGTGATGCATTAGCAATGCAAACTACATTTCATGAACGTTTTAATACTCTAAAAGGATTTTAGTTGTTTTTTAGAAATTATATGGCATTCAAACTGCATGTACAGTATATAGTGCTCTTGATCGTTCCGATTAATATGCATGTTCTTGTCAAATGTGTCTTGAGTTCTTCTTGGAGCGATTCAAATTTGTGGTTTTTCACACTAAAATACTTCAAGCTCATCAAGAAGCCTACACAAAGGAGCTATTTAGGGAAATTTCACATGAATGTCATATGTAGGTATTCACCCCGTACTTTCTGTTGCAGTACTTGTGCTAGCACTTTACTCGCAGGCAACTCAGAGGGAAGCTCCCCATCTGGGTTTAACATTAAAAAAGAACGTTTCCTGTTGCTTATCAGTGTTTCTCTTACATTGTTCTCATTTGCATACTTTCCACCCTGATGTTAAAAATCAGGGTTTGTAGGGCCCCGAGAGTCACGGTTACATCATATAATTTGCTTTTGAGACCTTTGTTCTGCTTTAACAGAAATCACTATGAAGATGTCAACAGAAAGTGTGCATGTACTTGAATGGCTGAAAAGGGGATGAACCATATATATATATGTTCTTTAGGCATTATGAGACGACTGATTTAAATAATTAGGCTGGCAAATTGCCTATATACTGAAATTCCATTGACCAACTGTTTGTATGCAGAGAGGTGATGAAATGTTAATGATGAATAAATTTGATGATAATGATTATAAATGTACTTTACCTTAATTGGATATAAAATTACAGATTCCTGTAGTATATACTGATTTCATGCATGAACGTGTTAAAAAAGTGAACGAATTCTGAGAAATCATGAAAATGTTCGATAAAATGTGATTCATAGTGGTCACTTTCAGCATAGCACTATGATTTGGCACAGCAGTAATTTAAGGAAACCTCTAAGATGCTTACATCCTGTACAGAAATAATGAAATGACATCAATTTACAGCTGGCTCAAGGTCAAAATCAGATCTGAATGGCCTTAAAATGTGGGCTTTTGTTGCACTGGCTGAAAACAGGACGCTCAGGAAAATGAGCTATATTATGAATAAAAGAGCCATTCGCTGTGCTGTTAAACGCAGCAGTGTTTAGACATTTAAGTAACATGTCTGAAAGTTATTGCATTGGATAAATAAAATAAATAATATAATAACAAATAAAATAATAAATAAAATATGAAACCAAGTAGTATTTTCGAAAGGCAGATAGCACAAGCAAAATGTGTGATTTGAGTGTACAAAAGCATTTATATATATTATATAATAATTTATATAGACTGAAGTGTCAAGTGTGTGTGGAATGTTTGGTTTAATCGGCGGATGTCTTGACACAAAGATGGATAAAGGGTATTTTATGAAAAAAAGGCACACTGTTTTATACTCTGACGGCTGTTTTGCTGAAATCAGAAGATTCATCTAATGAGTAATCCACCAAGTGAAGCTCCTACCCTTTTACCAGAAGAGTTTAAAGAGTTTGTCTTCCCATGCATGTTTGAGTGTGTTCTGATCTACCATCAGTTCAATCATCTAACCAAGTCTGACTGTGCATGACAAGAACATCCAACTAAAAATATCAACCACCACCGGTACATCTGGTCTGAATATGAATAATCTGTGAACCTCTGAGACTTTCAATAAGCTCATTTATCATGCTATGGTGTCTTATGATTCCTGTGCTTCTGCAGAACCACAGATTCAGATCACTTACTGTATCAGTCGGATCATGCATAAGGTAGAGATGAGCTGTCAGACACCAACACTCGTAAAAAGGGGAAGCCCCCTAGCAAAAACAAGACTCGTCATCTGACATACATGACAGAAATGGAAGTTTTCAGCTCAAAAACACCCACCCATGAGGGGCCCGGGTCAAATTTAGCGCTCATTTCTGATAGACTGAAAGTGAACCTTTACTGGGCTGTAAATGTGTTTTCTCTCTTAGTTCTTTTCCTTCACTCATGCAAGACAAGTATCAGTATTATTATTGGTCATGCTTAAGGTTAGTCATTTGAACACATCCTAAGTATTAAAATTTTGCACTGCAATAAAATTGCTAAAAAATACAACAGATTTGTGCTGAAGGGAGGGTCATATAGGGAAATGGGGTGTTTTGCCCTGATAAGCAGCCATGCACTAAAAGTAACTAAGAACACATTAGAAATGCATAGAAATAGCCTGGACTAATACGTAGAAGAAAATGTCAGAAAATATAAAAATAGCTCTTTATACTACTATTATGTGTGTTACTTAAACTATTGCAGCACATTAATTGTGAGTTTTTGCATAAAACTCTACGTGCATTGCAGTGGTGTGACTGATGTAAATGGACGTATGTGCTTTGTAACCATAACTTTATGATTGCAGAGTAAATCGGCTTGGTTAGGAGGTGTTACTATTTTCATCCAAGCTGCCTTTTTTGGTCACCCAGATTTCACAGAGCTTTTCTCAAGGCTTCCATCTTCAGGCTTGTTGGTTAGTCACAGTCCACACATGCTGGAGAATGCTGGAATTACACCAAAACAAGGGCAGAGCGTCTTGTGTAAGCAGTTTTTCCTTGAGGTAATTAAAAATGTCACATAAGGGCTTCATTAGTCATGGAGTTTCCTAATGAGAGGTATGGGAATGCATAGTTACAGCAAAATGAGAAAATAAAATATACAAAGCATGCATTTATTGTGTTTTTTTCTTCTGTTTTTGAACTCCTGACAGTGAACTCCTGCAGAATAAATAGTCATACAGCATGAGGGTGAGTAAAGTATGACAATCTTCACTTTAAGATGAATTATTTCTTTAAAGCACATAAGATTTTTTCACATTCAGGCTGTTACTCAACAGTAAAACACATGTTCAGACTTTGGTTTGGCCTCACAGTTGTGATTCTTTGTATTATGAGGACACTTTGATCCCTCCTGCCTCTGAGTGGTTGTTATTTTCCATATGTCTTCATGTACAGTATGTACAGTATGTCTCTGTGCTTCTATGAATTTTCCTGGACTGTGTTCCACGTGTCTGGGATCACACCCTCCCATCTGGTAGGCTGAAATGAAGGGCTTTTCTCCGCCCCCAGTGTTCAGCCACTCAGTGTCCACTTGCACACATTTAAATTTTATTTTATTTTATTTTTAGTTACATATTAATATTTTCTATTTTAATAATTTAATTTTTAAATATTTGTATATATTTAATAGTTGTAATAATTTAATCCTTTTTATTTTATAATTTCATTACTTTTATTTTTATTCTATATATTATGTATATTTTATATTTAGTTATATTTGTTTATTTTTATTTATAAATGAATATTTTTTATTTATTACATATGAATCTTTATTTTATTCTATATATTTATTTTATTTTATTATTTGTTTTCAATAATTTATAATAATATTAATAATTTATTCTATTTTTTAAATAATATTTAACTTTATTTTATTAATTTTAACTTACTTAAAGCAATCTGATGGGGTTAAAAAAAAACTATAGACTAATACTGAAAGGGAAACCTGAGACACATCTAGTGACAAGAATATAGAGACTTGGTTGGGCTTTTTTGGTTTGACTTAGTAAGAAATCACTAGCAGCTACATAGCAATGAAACACTAAGAAAAACAAAGAGACCACATATCATCAAAGAAAAATTACAGCACTTTTATTTATTTACGTTATTTTTATTGATGCTTTGGCATTATCTTATATTATGCTGTTATATTAAATTGGCATAATATTGAAAAAATATATATATTTTAAATATTTGTAACTAATTTTGTGAGGATGGAGAGTATTGAAAACAACTGTAGAACATCAGCTTTGTGCGTTAACTGTCATTTTTATCTGGCAAAAGAGGTTTTAAATCTTACCTATACGCTACACACTAGTGTTATATGTAACAGTTCATTCTCGCAGTTCTTCAGCTGGTGTCACGATGAAGTGTAGATGTGTCCCTGAGCTGCTGTGCAGAACTGAGACTACATTGACAACACTGACATGCAGTTATAATTAGTTTGAAACAGCAACTGCTCTTGCATTCTCTCACACACTCTCTCTCTTCCTCTTTCTCCCCCCTCACACACCTTGTAGCATTCTTGGGGGAAGTGATTAAAGCCTGAGAAGGGGGTTGGAAGGGGCAGAACAATTACCCTGAAGAGGCGTTGGGCCAGACCCCTGCAGGTGGAGCTGACAGGGCGAGACCTCGGGCTGTCACAAGCTATTAGCTAGGCAGAGACGGCCAGAGAACACACACTCAGATGGAGCAACTATACGAAGAATAGCTTTTTTCTGCTGGTCTAGACTATGTTCAGCATACTACTTGTACTGTTTCTTTTGTGTATTGTTGTAAGTGCAGTATGGACTACATTCTGCATGCATACTATATTCACCAGGCTATACAGCAAATGATTGTGAAGTGCAATATAGGGCCACAGACTTTAATCGCTCAGTCTTCTCTATAAGAGTTGTCACTTGTCAGTATTTGGAACACACTACAAAATAACATTAGACAGTGTTCCACCTTTGCTTAATTTAAGTTATGACTAAAAATATGACTAAAGACGAGCCAAATATGCGATTGTTGAAAACCTTTTTTATTATTATTGATTAACATTCATTTATTTTAGGTGTATTAGCATTTATTATAGTGCAACCTGCTTGTAATTGTATTACTGCTATTTGTAATTTTTTTTTTGCATTAGGTGTGATGTTTTATGTATGTTAATTAATGAATGTTTTAATTACAGCGTATATTGCTTTTTTCCTGCTTAGGGGCTGCAGATGAAATTTAGTACATTTCCAATAATTTATAAATAAATATAATTCTGAACGTAATGCCCTTTATTTCACTTTCCATTTCCAACATGACAAAAAATATCAGCTGTGATTTTTAATACATCATTCTTGTCGACCTGCCAATATTCAAGCCATTTTACACAGAATTGTGTTAAAAAAAAAAAATCTATCAAAAAATAGTTACATGTTGGTAACTTGACGCCACTAAATTGAAAGTGCGTTTGTCACTGCATATTGCATACTGCTTCACATAGTATTTTTTTTAATATTTAGGAGTATACAGTGTATACAAATTCAAATGCATCCTAGAGAGTGTTTATTGTCATTCCAGCCATATAAAGGCATACATAGAAACGAAATATTGCTATGTAGTTTACAAAAATTACAATATTATGTCTATACAGTGAGATATATATTCTTCCATACTCTGTATAGTTTTTTTTTTTTAAGAGAGGACTGGAAATGATTTGGAGAGATGGAACAACATGTCTTTAAAGCATGCTTACAAGTTCAGGCTAAACTTATAACCCTTAAAGACCTCATATAATCTCACCTCAGTTGCCTTTGACCAGGTGGCACACTATGTACAAACGTGGACATTGCCGCTATTAAAGAATGACCAACCTTTGAACAAATATACTTGGGTGTGTTTGTGTCAACAGAATGATGCAAAACTCTAAAATCATGTGCAACTCTTGCACACACAAACATACGTGTAACAGCTTCCCTTGTTAGTGAGCAGGAATACATGATGCTTTGCATTATTTTTAACATCAAAACACATCACCGCAGCTACAAATTAGCATTTCCCCCCACTGTCACAGCTTCTTCTCGTTACTACTCTTTTCTTCTCTTTGCTGTACGTTTCTTAGTTACTTCCTCTTTCTGAATTCCTAATTCTGAAATTTAAAACAAATCTAATAGGTTTACAGTCTTATCATGTTCACATTCAGCTCTCATTGTGCCTGTTTTGCCCACAGATGTGTTTCACTCAGAGAAATGAAGGGAAAGAATGCTGTTGCACAGTAATTTAGCCAATAAATCCTCAATGAACTAGTAAGCCTGTGGGCAACTAAAGATAGTGAAAGATCTACCACTTTCTTTCTGTAAACAAATTATAGATGGCATAAGAGCAGACAACTTTTATTATTTATAATTTTTATTTATACTATAATTATAGAGTAGAATACTTAATCAGTGCTTTTTTCAGTAAAACCCATAGGGGAAAAAACAATTCTATTTAAAATATTCTAAAAAATTTTAAATATATTTTAAATCTTCATATGTTGAAATATGTTATAAAAAACACTTAAAGTGGGCAAGAAAATACACTTCCTATCTTAAAATACATTTTGAATATAAGATATTTTGATTTTTTTGCACCCTCAGATTCCAGATTTTCAAATAGTTGTACCCAAATCTTGTCCTATCCTAGCAAACCATACATCAATGGAAAGCTTATTTATTCAGCTTTCAGATGATGTTTCACTTTGAAACACAGAGCAGTTTCTCAAAAAGTGTGCTTCTGTGCGTGCACGTGAGAGCGTGATACCCGTGTGACCCAACCGGTCGAGCGGCATTTTGGCGCCCTTCGAAAATAAAAAGAAATATATTGTGCAAAGCGGCTAACATGTCACCCCAAGCTTTTATCATTCCTTTGTCAGTTTAAAAGCCTTTATGTGAACTAATCGTTCCGACACAATTTGACATACTTTAAATAATCCACATAAATTCCATTAATGTTTAATGACACCCTATCAGCTTCTACGCCTAATTACCCCGGCGCTTCTCTCACTGTGACTGGACTCTCATTATGCTCTGAAGGCATGAAAAAAGGAGGTTTAACATCCACAAAAGAAAGAACATTCTTATGCCCAGGAAAGTGGATACACAGTGACCTTTAACCTTTGGGGGATTAGGCTTCATTAGGGTGTGACCCTAAAACCTCTGTTCACCCATGTGCTCTTCTCTCTGGGATTAGAGATCTTTGACCAAAAGGTCCATGGGCATTTAAAAGCGGGTTATCGATGTGTCGTGTGTGTGTTTCTACTTTGATTGCAAAGAAAGTCCCAAATAGTGATGACAAACAATTTAGCTTCACCATAAACATAATTCATATAATACTTATGGTCTCTTGTCGAGGCTATTTTAATTCCTTTATGATTAACTAGTCTAGATATGCTGGCTAGTTAGTTCTATAAATCATTATGCACAAAATTTTTACGTTTTTTTTATTTCATCAATTGTCCCAAAACAAAGCAAAGAAGGACATGGATCTGAGATCTGTTGAGTGTAAATCGGTATGTACTTAAATTGGGATTAAGATAAAGCCACTTTGTTTTAAAATTGCAGGGAAGTTTCTGTCAGTTCCTTAAAACCATTCATTGTTGTGACAGTGAGGTTTAGTTGAGTTGATAAGATCAAGTGTTTTAGGCTGTGCTTGAAGCTAAACAACATGAGGGTAAGTATATGATGATATAATTTTCATTTTTGGGTGAGCTATCCTTTAAAGGTTGAAATGCACTACACAACTTTTAAAATTTGAAGAGATTTTAAAACACTAGGCATAATACATTCACCAACTTTATGAATTGTTACAGATGAAAAACTAGGCATTGTATGCTAAAAGCCTGAGGATCACACGCTACCTGACTTTCAAGTCATTTCAAACACCACAAACTCACACAGAAATATGTGCCTCATTGCTAGGAGATGTTCTTATAATCGGCTCAAAATATCAAACATGTTTGATACCCTCTGACTGGATTGAGTCATCCAGACTGCAAATATCTGTTCAAAAGTTGTGTAGTGTATTCCAAACATAAGTAAACCATTACCATTATTCCCAAGGCTTAACTTAATGGGGTTTGTTGCAAATGGCCTCTTAAAGACACTCTCTATTGAAAACTCCATTTGAGTGCTGTTTTCTAATAGCGAGAAGATGTTGCTATGGAGTTGACTAACTTTAGCCCTGTGGTTAGTGTTTGTGGTGTGTCTTCATAAATCATGCGCTGAACACACAGATGCATTGATCTGAAACTGTCCTCAAAATACTTTCCCAGCTCCACACATGCATCCAGGATGGTCCCCTTCCCGGCCTCAAACAGATCTCACACCTGTCCTTGTCTACCACTCCGAATAGCCTCACATGTCAGTGTAGCGTGTGGATCTCACCGGCTATTTGGCATTTTTGTGCCGAGCCCTTGAGCGCTTCAGTGACTGCTACCTCTCAAAAAGCTATTTTTTTCCGAAAACAGCCAGCAGTCATTCATGTCTCAAAATCTAATTTGTGTGTCAATCACTTATATAATTCTGAAAGTGCATCACTGAAATAACTCATTGTCGGTTGTGCATGTAAAATGCTTTCATAAATCACATTTTTAGTCCAAATATGAGTACTTATTATAAGTGTACCGTAGTGATTCGGAATGGTGTACTCGCTCATTATATACATTTAGCAAATTTTTAACACAGAAAAAGGTACATAGTGCTGCTTTAAGTAATACAAGTTTGGCATTTCCAGGTCATTTTGTATGACGTAATGGTTGCATTTTAATATGTTTTGGGAGGATGCTGACCTCTGAGGATTATTGTAATGAATGAATGTCTTTGTGACCTTTATGGTTAATATTCTTTAAAGAGGCTGTTTCAGCTCTAAAATCTGCTTTCATGTCTTAATGACAGTAGGAAGGCAGTGAAACGTCCCAGCGCAAACATGGCTCCCGTCTCTTGTCACCTTCCTGCGAGGGAGCATATGGCCAGAGACACTTTAGTTTGATGAAAGCAAACACACCAGTGTCAATCCACATCAGACCAACAGGCTAAAGCCCAAATGCTGATAAAAACACTTTCACACAAGGCACAAAATGCCAAGATTGTCATGCAGTGACAGATGTGTATCTTACAGGCTTGTTGAAAAACGTTTAATTTGGTGTTTTTCAGCAAATACACTCTTAAAAATAAAGATTCCACACTCTAAAAAATGCTGGGTTAAATATGGACAAACCCAGCGATTGGGTTGTTTTCAATCAAGTTGGGTTAAATGTTTAACCCAACCTTCTGGGCAGTAGTAACCCAACCGCTGGGTCAAAACAACCCAATCGCTGGGTTTGTCCATATTTTACCCAGCGCTGGGTTGTATTTAACCCGGCATTTTTTAGACTGCAAAAAGGGTTTTTCACAGTGATGCATCAGTGAAACATTCTAAAAAGAACCATATTTCTTATTGCAAAGAACCTTTTTCCATTATAAAGAACCTTTTGTGCAACGGAAAAGTTCCTCATGCCGATAATGAACCTTTATTTTTAAGAGTGTATGGTCATTAGTTTATGCATTAAATTATGATTTTTAAGGTGTCATTATTTCCACCTCTTGAACAAACCCAATATGCAAAAGAAATGTACTTTCTCGCAGTCTTCTAAGGATGATTCCTGTGGTCATGTATTTAAGTGGATTGGTGGAAGCACCAGTTTTCAAAGAAAGATGGGTGTGATTGCTAAAGTAAATAGATGTTTATCTCTTTTCTTATCTTTTTCTCTCATTTAGGATCAGACCTGAGGTGATTCCCTGTGTTTTTGGAGGGCTTTGGTTTAAAGATGAGCTTTTGAAACACTCTGGAATCCTTGTCAGGACGTTTTCTTGCTTCCTACTGAACAGCCTCAGGAGGACACAAGCTTAACATGCGCTGACGTGTGTGTTCAGCCCTCCTACAGATGTTGTCACTTTTGATCTTAGCATTCATAACATTAAGTGGGGGAAATGTAATGGTTGACAAT